AGTTGCACAAAAATGTGTATGCACTTGATGCCACCAAGTTGTACAGTTAAATGTGATTAAGATAGTATTTTTTATATGTGTGACTTTTATCACAATAAGAAGCATTAAAAAAGGAAATTAAAAACACATTTATATCATATGATATAATCTATTGGTTGAGATGAAAATATGAATTGCCTACTGGTTAATACATAATATGTGACTAAATTTTAAATATTCAGGAAAAAGTAGGCAGAGGCTAGATCCCAAAGAGTCTAATGCCTAACTAAAGGCTGTTTGCAATAATATTAGGAAGGATAACATCTTTTTCAAATGACTGAATACGCTCCTCAAAAAGACTTAAGTGAAATGGCATTTAATGGCAGCCATAACTGAAAAGTCTACAGGAAGAGCTGGCTATTATAGACATGTCTGGATCAAGATCCAATTGATCTTAAATTTCTCCCTTTATCTCTGTGTTCTGACACCATCTGTGCATGGTTCTGTTCTCATGTGGTTTATGCTTTGTGACTGTAATATGGTTGTTAGAGTTTCACAGGGTCAAGTCCAACGGGAAAGAAAGAGAGTCTCTTTTATAAACATACCAGCAAAGTCTCACAGTTCTGTTTGAGTTACCTGAATGAATTATTTTGGTGAGCAGAATGCTATGCTTCGATTGATTAGGCCTGAGATTTACAAACTGCAAAAGTTGATTCTACCTAGAAGCTCAAAGACGTAGCATGTGAAGGAAGGTGGTCTTTTAGGAGGACACTGGGTATGAATACCAGAAAAATGATATACATGTCAGGTAGCAAATAAGTAAATTCAAACTGTTGTTGTTCAGTCACTAAGTTGTGTCTGACTCTTTGTGAACCCATGAACTGCAGCACTCCAGGCTTCCCTGTCCTTCACTATCCCCCGAAGTTTCTCAAACTCATGTCCATTGAGTTGGTGATGCTATCTAACCATCTCATCCTCTGCTGTCCCCTTCTCCCCCTGCCCTCAATTTTTTTCCCAGCATCAGGGTCTTTTCCAATGAGTCGACTCTTCCCATCAGGTGACCAAAGTAACGGATCTTCAGCTTCAGAGTCAGTCCTTCCAATGAAGATTCAGGGTTGCTTTTCTTTAGGATTGACTGGTTTGATTTCCTTGCTGTCCAAGGGGCTCTCAAGAGCTTCTCCAGAACCCAGTTTGAAAGTATCAATTCTTTGGTGCTCAGCCTTCTTTATGGTTGAACTCTCACATCCATACATGACTACTGGAAAAGCCATAGCTCTGACTATACAGATCTTTGTTGGCAAAGTGATTTCTCTGCTTTTTAATATGATGTCTAGGTTTCAAGAAACAGTTTATTTTGTAGAGATTGAAGGGCCATTGATGGCTTTCAGGCTGTGGAGTGACCTGACCATGTATGTTATATAAAAGGACTGATCAAGCTTAATATGGAGAATGGATTGGAGGATTGTGGCCAGGGGCCAAGATTCAATTTAAAGTTTTTTTTTTTTTTTAACTAGTTCAGAGGAGAGATGGTAAGTGTATGGATGAAACCTTGGCATTGGCAATGGAAAGCTACAATGATTCAGAAATGTACTCTTAGGGACTAGAACCATAAACACTTATGGTGAATGAAATTCACCTGGGAAAGGAAGGAAGACATCCAGGATGTCCCTTAGGTTTTGGCTTTGGTGACAGGGTGAGTAGTGATGTCATCTACTGATAGTGGAACTACAGAAGGAGAGAGAAAGGAAGGTATAAACTAACAATAGTGTTAGTCACTCAGTTGTGTCCGACTCTTTGCAATCCCATGGACTGTAGCTTGCCAGTCTCCTTTGTCCATGGAATTCTCCAGGCTTGAATACTGGAGAATCTCTTCTCCAAAGCAACAATAACTAATATTTAAAGTGTATTTTACATACAAAACGTCCATGATCTTTTTCATTGAGTGGTTGAGAAAAAGTATATTTAAAGTTCATGGAATCTTTTTTTTTTCCCATTACAAACAACATCATTCACAATGATGAATGACCTGGGAATGCTCTTCTGTATACCCCCATACAAGGAAACACACGTGTTCTGTAAATGTATAATGGAGGTACATGCATGTTCATGCAGCCACAGTTTTGTATTAATCTCATCCTTTCATTTTTGTTTATTTGTTTTGCCCTTTTGTTCTCATGCTCTTTTGACCCATGTGTCCTTTCTGTATTTTATCAATTTTTCCAAGTGGCTTTATATCCTTATGGAAAGAGAGTACATTGTCAACTAACATTTCTTGATACATACTCATTACAAGTCAGCTCTTACGAAGAATGACTGGAATGGGACTTGGAGTTTTTTAAACCAAAATCGTTCTTCTTTCTTTACACAAATATCAGTAAAAGTGAATAAATTGTATCTGTCACTTTTTTTAGGAGTAAAAGACACCTGCTTTTGCTTAAAAGTTTATCCTTTTAAAACCAAAATAGCCTTTCCTTTCCCACTTTAGCTCTCTGATCCCCATCACAATCCTGCCAGATATTTCAAAATAAAATTCATTCCTTGGCCTAGAACCAAGACTCCAGCTAAAGAAACTTCAGTTTAAAAACTCAAAATAGGCTTTGCAAGAAACATGTAAGAGATAAGTAAATAAAACGGAGTCCGAGAAATGAATGCATTAAAGGATCATGATGAGATGAAAATTTAGATTACATAATACTCTTCTGGGTCGTGACTGTCTTCCGAGACTTCATCTTCAGTTTCTTCAGCAAATCCTATAGTCTTCAAAGGGCCTGTATTTTGTTCTTCAGCAAATCCCATAGTCTTCAAAGGGTCTGTATTTTGTTCTTCTCCAGATAAACTTTTTCTGTTGGCTCGTTGTTGTTTTTTTCTTTAAAAAAAACAAAAAACACAAAACTTTATAGCTTGGAATTCCAGGTTCAGCTGCTATTTAGAGACAGATGACTATCTCAAACCACTTCTTATCTCTCTTCTCTAATCTTTATTGCCCTTGGCCTCCCAGACCAGAAGGAGAACCGTGAGTGGAAAATGCATGGCAGGCAGAGGAAAAGGATGAAAGCAAGATAAATCTGCAAGATGAGAGAAGGAAGTATTGCCCACAGGTACAGCTGCTTGATCATTGTAAACTTCACCCTTGATAATAGTAGCGTCCAGCTCTGGAGCACACAGGGCTTCACACTTTCTTATGAAGAAAGGCTCCAGTTCTCAGGTTGCCATTCGAGACTCTGGCAGATACGGCCTATGGATCCCTCTTTTGGGTCTCTGCACTCGCTCTCACACTTTCTCCCCATTGTTTCCTCTGTCGGAAGTGCCCTCCGTCCGCTTTGGCCATTCCAAGTCCCATCTGTCACTTCAGGCCAAGGGTGCAGAGATTTCCCTAGTTGTTTTTTCTCTCACATCCCAATTTTGGAGTTAACATTTGGCCCTCAGCACTCCTTCCAAAGTATTTTATCTCCAGTTTAGTGCTTATCATCTTTTAGGATGTCTATTTCTAGAATTCTAGGTCTTTTGTGTCTGCATGTGTCTCATTTCCTTTCTTATTTCCTTAGAAAGTCGATGGCGGGGGTTGCACCAAATTCATCTTGGTGTTGTGTTATCGTCACAGAACTCAATGCAATGATTCACGCATAGAGACATTGAATGATATTTATTATATGAATGAGCAAAGAACGTGGGAGGATGGACAGGATGCCAAAAAAAGAGGGAGCTAGGGAATACCATTACTATCGGCCAGGGGAGTGGGCGTGAGGGTATTATGGGCAAGACTGTCTGAGGAATTGCAGGTCAGTGGGGAATGATGTTGACACTGAGAACAGTGGAACTAAAGGGTGAGTGAGACTTAGACAGGTCAGTTATTTGCTCAGATGTTTGGTCATGCCCTCCCTTCCTCCTGTTCGCTCCTTCCATTAACTCATTCGTAAATCAGTGGTCATATGCTTTGCTTTATTAGAATTCACTACCTGGGAAACCCATGAGAAACAATATATTATTATGATGTAAAGCCGTGCCCTTACCTGTGTTAAAACTAAAACGACCAATGTTTGTCCTGAGACACTATCATGATAAAGAATTTAAGAAAATGACCTACTGACTAATCTCTGAAACCTGTTTCTCTTCACTTCCATTACCACTCCCAGGGTATCTCTAGATTTTTTTCACCCCTTCCTGATTGCAAATACCACTGGTGTTTTGAAGATGAGATGGGAGAGACTGTAGCTGTTAAATTCCTTGTTTTATTTGCGTATCTCCCACCTATTTGAAAATACACATCTTAGCACACACAGTTTTCTTCCAGGTGTAAAATCTTCTCTGGTTTCAACCCCCAGGAATAGCAAGTCACGTGTGCCTCCAGCATTGAGTCAACCTATTTGCCATGGCACTTATCATACTGAACTGTGACAGTATACTCAATACACATTAGCCTAGGAATTTTATCTTAACTCATTATTAAATCTGACCCAGCAGTATAGTGTCTGGATCCTACAGTCTCATTAAAGAATTGTTGAGTGAATATATAGAAGCATGAAGGAAAAAATAATACAGCAAAATAATCACTTTATTTTGTTTGAAATTACTTGGCATCTCTCACCTTTGTGTTTTTACTTATTACAGTCTTTTGAGAATTGTCAAGGACTTTGGGATGTTTTGATTTTCTCAAATAACAGGCAAAAATGCAATTTTATGAAGATCTAATGAGACAATATCATTGCCAGCTGGTTTTAGCACTCAGGAATTTAATAGAAAATTTGTAACATTGTCTTTAATTTGTTTAAATATTTATGAACATCACTTTTGAGAGAACATATCTGGGGTTTTTGTTTTATATCATTCATTTTGGTGTGGTTTCAATGGTTTGGTGGTTCAATTTGTTTTAACAGATTCTGCTAGAACTGTCTGTAAATGCTCTGGAATCTGAGTGGGAGTCTTTTTGGATCTCATTTCCACTCCTTCCAACTTCCAGGGCCCCAGATTAAATCAAAGTGTCTGCCATAAGGATCTTGGGACATTCAGGCCAGCAGTCCTCATCAGAGTTCATCGTCTTCTGATATGGAGTCTAGATAATCTGTGTCAACATACAGGAGAAACCCAGAGAACAAGCTGTCAGCCCAACCTGGGTCTGAGAAGAGCCCATTCTGGTCAGTGAAGAATATCTCCAGCCAGACTTCATCTTCTGGCTGCAGATAGATGACTGTGGACCCTGAAGCCACGTCATGGTTTCCTGTGTTGGCATCAAAGGTCTTTATCCGATACTGCCCATTGTGTACCAGCCCGATGGCCAGGTGCTTATTTGCCAATGTGATATCGTAAGAAAAATAATAGATCCCTGGGAAGGCACAGATGAACTTTCCCGTTGCTGGGTTGTAGTGCTCTCCCTCGTTGAAGAGGACCTTGTTAAATACGATCGGCAGCCTTTCTTCCGGGTAGCTGGTTGTGATGCCAACAGAAAAGGCAGATTTGAGCACGATGCTTCCACATCTGCACACTCCAGGCAGCCCCGGGTCCCCTTGCTCTCCTCTGTCCCCCTTTGGTCCAGGCGGCCCAGGAGGACCTACTTCTCCTTTCTCTCCCTCAGGTCCCATCGGTCCCTTTTTCCCAGCCTCTCCTTGGTCCCCTTTCTCTCCAGCAAGGCCCAGGGGTCCAGTCTTACCTCGCAAACCTTCAAAAAGAGTTTAAAGTTTAGTTATTAGTTCCTGTGAATATAGAGTCACAAACAACATGCCCACATACCCTAAGTTTGCCTTCTCAACTTTCAACAGGATACTACTGAATAATTCATATGTATATGTTTTTTAAATCACTGATGTCCTGCAAGGAAGACAGAAAAAATTTCATCAAAATATCAAGAAAATTTTCTTGAATATATGAGAAATCATCTAAAACTTGACTAATTAAAAAAAAATTAACCATCATTTTGATGATGAATCACCTACTGCTAAATTAGACACACACAGACACTCATCATTACTGGAGGAATTCAAGAGCATGATGATATTATTCCCTAGAGTGGGGTCATGGGGGTAGGCAGGACAAGATGAATCCTAGAAGCTACTTAGTTGCATGCCCCATTCAGCTTTTATCAGTATTATTAACAAAAAGTTAATTCAAGTTAGATTAGCTCATATTTATTAAACATTTACAATGTCCCAGCTGCAATGCCTTATGTGCATGCGTCTTCTGCTTTAAGACTCGCAACAACTTTGTTAGCTAGGAATTATTGCTTCTACTGTGGGTGAAAAAACTGAGCGATGGAGAAGTTAGTTTGTTGGAAGGAACAGAGTTAATGAAGGATGGAGAGGTGATCTGAACTCCAGCCTGCCTGACTCTGGCACCTGAACATCTCTTGAGAGATGTGTAAATTGTGAAGTGTACCCCAGAAAGGGCTCTTCAATATGTCATGATAACCAAACAACTGCGACTGCCACCACTGTGGGGGAGTTCTTTTTGGAGGAGAAAGCTGAGTCCCAGACAGGGGAAGAAACTTGCTTCAGTAGCAAGACTAGGACTGGATGTCGAGCTTAATGATGTTTTCCCTTCATCAAAATGCCTTTTACCTTTGGGGCTGAAATTAAAAGAAAAAACCTTTTTTTTTTTGACTCTACAGCTAAGTGGATGTACTATTTTAGGCAAGTCCTTTAATTTCTCTGGGTCTCCATATATGTAGGAAAGACATAAGGGCTGTGAAAAACAACAATGACCTAAAAGTATAAAAAATGTCATTCAGTGTTATGGCTAAATCCATTTCATAAATAGCTTCTTGAAAAGTATCCAAATTATTGGTAATTTGTAGTACACTTTTATAGTCAGAGAAAGTATATTGTTGTTATACTGTGTAATTTTATCTGTTCTCAGGATTTTATTAAGCTAAGTCTTTTATCTTGATAGTACTTTGATATCACTTATTTGGCTATTACACATACATCAATTTATGAGTTTTGATTATTTTTTCAGTTGTTTGGCAAATTTAGCAATGAAGTATTCAGGATAATACAAGTTTCAGGAGAATTAAAGCTATACCCTTAAAACATCAAGTGTTTTGTCTCAGTGATTTGACAAAGAAGTTGTTTAGTACTTTATGATGCATGGAAAAAATGCTAATAATGAATGCAACCCTTTTTTGGCAACATGGGATTGCAAAGAGTTGGACACGACTTAGTGACTTGATAACAGCAACAATAGCACAGTCAGCATTGTTACTGATCATAGTGCTGTTCTCTGGCTCTAGATGAACTTTGCAGTTAAGTTTAAATTCTGTTGCAGGGAAAAGCCAGTTCTGACTCCATGTTGGAACTGTTTCTCTGACTTGTTTTTTATTACTTTTATTATTATAATCATACATAATGGCCCATCTCAGAGAAGCCTGCCCCTCTGCCTGAACGTTAAAGTGCCTTGTTTAGCACCCTGTCCATCTGTAGATGGCAGGAAGAAAGAAATTAACACATCCCCTGCCTGAGGCTTGCCATTCCGAGAGATATTTGCAAGATTAATGGCCTTTTTACTTTGTTTCCTCACCTTCCCTCATCTCTGATCTATAAACGAACCTGAAATCCAGACCCCATAAATAGTTATTTTGAGACATTAGTCTAACATCTCCTCAATCAGCTGGCCTCCAAATAAAGTCGTATTTCTTGCCTCAACACCTCCTCTCTGATTCCTTGGCCTGTTGTAGGGTAAGCAGAGCAAGCTTGGACTTGGTAACAATTTCACTAGCCCCCAGCCAGAACAAGCTAGTATTTATTTCTTGAAATAAGGCCTTGATAGTCTGATCTTTCGATGTTTGTTTCCGTTTGGTAGAAATGGAATATGATACTATTTTACTGTGAAATTAACTTTTGAATCAAGGACTGCAACTTACACACTGCTATTTTATTTTCAGTTGGAACTGTCTTTATACATGACTTTGATGTATCAATAAAAAAACATTTTGGCATCAGAGGCAATTTCTACCATTAAATTTCATTATGTACTAAAATTCCTCTGGCCCTATAACTTTGGGCAAGTCAACTCTTGTCTGAATTTCACATGCCACATTTGTACTATGAAAATATTGGATCTAAATCCACTCTAAACCCGGCGGGGAAAGTCGTAAACAGTGACTCAGCAGTCCCGATAAGCTCTGGTTCAGCTGTGGATTAGTTGGGTGAGTGTGAAGAAGGGACTTTATCTCTCCAACTTTAGTGTCTCAGTCCTTGAAATGCAGGTTTTGGACTAGATTGCTTGAGGTCTTATTCTCTTGAAAATTCTTAGAGACCAGACCATAAATACTAAGATGCAGTTTTACAATGCCATGAAAAGGTCTTTATAATCTCAACACTTGGATCTCTGTAGCTATTGAATATTTTGAACTGCTGGGAGTTAGATAACCAGGGACGAACTGTAATAATTTATAGTAATTCTTCCTGTGTGCTTCAAGGATTTGCCCTGTGATAAGGGCCAATTAATGAGGAATGGAATGAAGGGATAAATCACTCTCCGCTCCCTATTCAGTCAGACATATGCTGGGTAGAGAGGAGAATTATGGAGTGCTAGTCTATGTCTAGAAACTGAAACTTGGAGAGAATGGAATTCTTCTTGGTTCTCCATGAAATGAGCTTATAAGGATTTCTTTCTTTAGTGCTATTTCTTTTTTTTCGATCCATCCATACATCCACCCATGCACTCATCATACATGTATGGGCACATGTACATATGCATCTAAACCATCTAATACTGATTGATCATCCACTACATGCTAAGTGCTGTGCTGGGGCTGAGTGCCCTTGACGTGAATGACAGCTGTCTTATCCCCAAGTTAGCTGTTATGGCATGTTACATTGTGATCTGCAAATATGGGTTATAACTAAGTTCATAAGCATCCAAAGCCATATAATAAAATAGAATGATCTCTTCACAAGGTGGGTCTAGTGTTTTCCTCTGCCCTTGGAACTTTGCAGGCAAGAATACCGGAGTATGTTGCCATTTTCTCCTCCGGGGGATGTGATTTCACATTATATTAATTAAAAAAAAATGCTACCACAATAATTCCTATACATCAGTGAGGGAGATGGGCTTTCCTGGTGACTCAGATAGCCGATAATCTGCCTACAATGCAGGAGACCTGTCCTTTGTCAGGAAGGTCCCCCCTGGAGAAGGAAATGGCTACCCACTCCAGTATTCCTGCTTGGAGAATTTCATGGACAGAAGAGTCTGCTGGGCTATAGTCCATGGGGTCACCAAGAATCAGACATGACTGAGGGACTAACACTTTCAGTTCATGGCGAGGGAGACATATTCTTATGGAAAGTTAATAATTCAAACTCTTTAATTTAGAGTAGGGAAGTTGGACAAAGCATATACTTGACCTTGCCAGGGGGTTGAGGTGGATGTGGTGGGGATAAATGAGAAGACATACACAGTATTAAAGGGGAAACTGAAAGCAGAAGCTCCCAGCCTAGTTGTGTTCAGTTCCAGACACATTAAAAGCTAATCCTCAAAGCTCCAGGGCTCTGTTCTTATTGTTTGTAAATGAGATGTGCCTTCACTGACCACACAGACATTCTTGCTTTTCTTAGTTGGTGTGTATCCTTACCTATGTGTATGTATACATTGGATTTAAATAAAATTGGGGAAGTCTTTTTACTTTTGAATATCAATTTTGTCTTTTGTAACATTATTATTGATTATGATTTTTGCTAATAAGCGTACGGTTGAAATTAAGTACTTAATGTAAAAATCACTGGTACAGTAAATTCTTAATAGTGATGATGATGATGATGACATATGATAATCATGTGCTTCCATACTGGCCTCCCCCACCCAGTGTTTGCTTATCAAGATGGCTGGAATGTTGTGTTCATGTTCCCATTCCCTATAACGGGGTTCTCAACCAGTTGTAATTCAGCACCAAGGGAAAACTGGCAATGCCAGGAGACATTTTTGGTTGTCACAACTGGTGGGGGATGCCCTGGCATCAAATGAAATGTGTCTAAATGTCATTCAATGCATGAGATAACTATCCCATGGAAACAGTTATTTGGATCCAAATATTATTAGTGTGGAGGTTGAGGAACCTTGGTTTAGAATGATATTGGAGAGCAAGAGGTGTACTAAAATTTGTTGAATGAAAAATGCACGAATAGATGGACGAGTGAATGGACTGATGAATATGGGGGTTACCTGATCTCATATATGGTTAAAATTGTAGCAATTGTTATTCAGTTGCTAAGTCATGTTTGACTCTTTGGGACCCCATGGACTGCAGCGCACCAGACTCCCCTGTCCACTATCTTCCAGAGTTTGCTCAAAACCATGTTCACTGAGTCGGTGATGTCATCTGACCACCTCATCCTCTGCTCCCTTCTTCGCCTTATGCCTTCAATCTTTCCCAGCATCACGGTCTCCTCAGTCACTCAGTCATGCCCAACTCTTTGCAACCCTCTGGACTGTAACCTGCCAAGCTTTTCTGTCCATGGAATTTTCCAGGCAAGACTACTGGAGTAGGTTGGCACTTCTTACTTCAGGGGATCTTCCCGATCCAGGCATGGAACTCACATCTCTTGCATCTCCTGCACTGCAGGCAGATTCTTTAGCACTATGCCACCTGGGATGTCCCCAGGATCTAAATACTAACATCCAATTTCAGCGCCAGGGTCAATTACTAACATTCAATTTACTCTGAATACATATCCATATCCATATCTTTAAATAGCACTACAATTACCTCATGAAACAGGCCATTTCTAGTTTATTATATGTCTTTGGATATTCACAAATGTAGCTATGACTAATATTCACAGATCACAATGTAATAGATGATAACAGCAAACATTTACAGAATGCTTATCACATGGTACTTATTCTTGAGTATTTTATATGTATTATTTTTTTTTAATCTTCACAATCACACTTACTAACTCCAATTTACCAAGAGGAAACTGAGATTCAAATGCCTTTTCCCCCCGCAAGGATGCCAAGTTAGTAACTGAAGGAATCATATCTTTCTGACTCTAATGCATTTTTGTGTGACCACTGTATTATCGCTTCCAGACACAGTAAACTAAAAAAGCCAGTAATATCTAACTATGATCATAGTGTTATTATAGAATTTCAGACATATTCATGATCATGACACAGTAGTGTGTTCACATGTGTTACCAAATAGAAGGCATTGAAAGATGAGATGAGAGCTCCGAATGAAAGTTGATGTGATGTTGAAACTTCACCTAAAGAGACTTTATCTAATGTTGATTAAGGGCCACAGATTCGGTAGCTGCTGATTTGCCAAATGTTTTCTGCATAAGAAATTCAGCAATGAATTATTATCTAATCACTTGAATATATATATTATGATATTGTTTCCCATAACATCAGTAAATCACATGCAGTGATGAGAGACACATTTCTTAGATCTACTGATTTTTTTCTTCCTATCTTTGTCCCACATTTTACACTTGGAAACTTGTTTTCAAAGATTGATTCCATCCAAAACTTCCTCTTTTATCATTAACACAGCCTCACTAGAATTTTAATTTGGTTTACTTTGAAGCATTGCAGAATCCAGCAAGCTTCATAAGCCAACTTATTTGTGGGGGGAAAAGTGACAATTATTGAAAGAGTAGGGGACAACTGTCTTGCTGTACAGAGTTGTAAGAAATCTAGATTTTTAGCTGCTACAGGACAGGTGGGAGAGTGTTGAACTAAGAAAGATCAACAAAGGTTATACAGAACTACTGTCATTTCACCTGTTTAAGAAGAAAAATCTAGAAGCCTTTTGTGTCTTTTTGAGGATGTGAGTGCAGAGAGGATGGCCCCTGTGCTTCTGGCTCCTAATTCCTGCCCCCTGCTCCATCTGTCCGTCTCCTCCCCACCCATCTGTCTATCCATCCATGCCCCCTCTCACAGGCAGCCACTGTACCAGCCCAGAGGGCGTGGGTATCAGATGTTCCAGTGATGAGGCTCTGCCAGGCATGAGCCTGCCCTTCCATCTCCCTTAAGCTACTGACTCACCTACCTATAAACAGGACCACGTCCCCTTGGCAGAGCTGAGGTTAGGAATGCAGTGAGATTGCAGTTAGAGGGTTTAGAGCAGCAGCTTCACCGTAACAAGGACCCACTAAATGGTTCTGATTCATGGAGGTGAGGTCGGGACAGGACTGAAAGGGCGCTTCTCCTTCGAAAAAGCAGCAAAGCAAGGTGGTCATCCTAAGGTGGGGGTGGCCGAGGGGTGTTTATGGAGCGTCATTCATTACCTGCAGCCCCCTTGTCACCTTTCTCTCCTTTCCTGCCATCTCTACCGTCCCGTCCTGGAAGGCCGATCCGACCGTGGGGCCCGGGGGAACCGTTCGCTCCGGGGGGGCCTGGAGGCCCGGGCAGGCCAGGAATGCTACAGATATACCTTGGGGAGTAGCTCTCTCCTTTGAACTGATTACCCCGCGGTTGTCCACTGGCGCAAATGGCAAAACTTGTAACATAGAGCAAGACAAACATCTTTGGCTCTGAAAGAGAAACACATGGACATCAATGCACCCTCTGAGGTGGGGGTTTCAGGATAAACGAACAGGAGAGTGGGCATTTTCAACAATTCACCTCAGGGACCACCTCGCCACGGATGTCTAAATGCCGTGTTGGCCCTCATAATTCCACTTGAGGTTAGTAGCACATTATTCTTCATTATAATTAAATTTATTTATCTTTAATTGAAGGATAATTGCTTTACTTTATTGTGTTAGTTTCTGCCAAACATCAACATGAATCAGCCAAAGGGATACCTATGTTCCTTCCTTCTTGAACCTCCCTCCCACCTCCTTCCCCATCCCATCCCTCTAGGTTGTTACAGACCCTAGTTTAAGTTCTCTGTGTCATATAGCAAATTCCCCTTGGCTATCTATTTTACATATGGTACATATTACTCTTTTATTAATAAGCTTTATTGTTAAAGCACAATATTATCTTAAATCAGAACAAAGAAAAATGTATTTATTGAACAAAATTACTTTGGTGGAATGCTTTTGTAAAATTCCTGGTGACTCAGAAAACATTGTCCGAATTAGCACATTACTGATAGTTCTCATTTGGTGGAGATGAAGCACTGATTTTTAAAATTCCAAAATAAAGCACTTTGTTGCATTTTTTTCCCTGCAGGAATTAATGATGGACTTTGAAAAATAATATTATCTTTTTGTGAAAGTATGCATTTTTTTGGCTTCCCTGGTGGTTCTACGGTAAAGAGTTTCCCTGCCAAGCAGGAGACTTGGGTTCAATCCCTATGATCCCTATGTTGGAAGGTCCCCTGGGGAAGGAAATAGCAACCCACTTCAGTCTTCTTGCCTGGGAAATCCCATGGACCGAGGAGCCTGGTGGGTTACAATCCATGGTGTTGCAATAGAGTTAGACATGACTGAGTGACTGAACAACAACATGCATTTTAAAAAAGAAAAAGAAATGCAAATAAATAAGATAAATATCAACATTATTCTCACCATCCAGAGATAATTGCTGTTTATACTTTGATGTATATGTTCTTTGGTCTTTTTTTTTTTCTTCTGTACTATGAAGAAAAGTGATACTATGACATTCCTGCAACTCTTAACTTTTTTCTCACTGAACAATATGTAAGGAATATCTCCCCATGTCAAAAATTTTCATAACATTAAAAACATTTCTGCATTTGTCTCTATGGTCCTTTATGTATACCATTTCCCCTTATAGATCTTTGTTTCCAGTTTTTTGTTTTTTTTTCCAGGATAAACACCATGCTAGATAGACGTCTTTATGTCTAATCTTTGTATGCATCCATGGTCGTTTTCTTAGAATTTATAGACTTTTTAAAGTAAGCGAAAGAAGTGACATTTTCAGGAAAATCATGTTTTCCACTTGCTAATCATATGTAATGCCAATTAGTGTTAATTGGAGTTCTTTGCATGTCCTGAGTGGGAGGTGTCTCAAACTTTAATTTAAAATCTGTAGGATGGAATACTGTAGTGTCCCATTAAGCCGTTAGTCTTGGGGCTCAACTAAATAGCTGAGTGAAATTAAACCATGCAAGTTGCCATGTGCCCTGAGTGAAATAGGCAACAGGTCTAGCTCTGATCTAATAGGATTTTTTTTTTCTCCACAGAGCTTGGATGCTGACAATGATGGATCATCTATTAGCATCACATTTGGCATATAGATGAAGTGGTGGTAGTTAGGCTGGGGACAGTTGATTTTCTAGGCTTAGGGCTGTCAGCCTCTCGGGTGGGGGAAGTATACATGTGGTTTTGGAATGGTGTAAATGAGTTGTTTTTGTGTGGTTGGACCTGTGCTTTAATAAGGGATCTGTACAATGCTTGATGTCTATGCCTGGAATGTCCTTGTCCAAAGGAAATAATTATAACTTGTGAGAAAAGCAATTGGACAGAGTTTCTTTATTTTTTGACAGCCACATCAGAAAATTAACCAGCACGCTGTACCACTTGGGGAAATTGCAACATCTTGGAATCAGATCCAGAAGTTTGCCAGAGCCTAGGAATGACAAGCTGAGAAAAACAGAGTGTACATGTGGTTCGAAATAAGTCTGATTCCTAGAAATCGTATTGAGTGAAAAACTGAAGCAGCTTATCCAAATATAGGCTCTGAATCCTTGACCAAATCTCCATGTTCCCAGTGCCCCTGCTCTTCATAAAAAGAAAGAAACCCCCAAATAATGAAAGGGAACATTTTTGCTATTCTCTGTTCAGAGCACAAACTCAAAATTATTTATCCTATTACTTTACTGGAATGAAGGCACTTTCTGAAAACCCCAACAGATCAGATAAACGTATCAGTCTTTCCAAAAGTGCCTCAGATGAGAGAAAATGGAAAGACTCTTTTCATCCAAACCCTTGTCAGTTAAAACAAGACATGGTTATTAAATTGCTACTTTCTTTCTCTTTGTAGAAAACTGATTAGAGGAAGCTTTGAGAAGGGATTTGAAAGAGAAGAACAGGTACTTATAAGGAAGCTTTTAATCAGACCAGGAATGGATTGTTGTAGCTGAGCCCAGGAGCTGGTCCTAGGAGGGATCTGAAATGATCTGGAGGGAGGATGCTTTGGGCAATGGCATCTCAGACACTGGTGGAGATGCTGAAACACACACGCCAATCATTGGGGATCAGTCTATGGAGGAGCATGTGGTCAAAGTTGAGGTTATGATGGATAGAGGGTGTAGAAATTTTAAAGATGTGCTCAGAAGAAAGGATATTAACATTTCCTCAATGGTGAAGAATCCTCTTGCCAGTGCAGGAGACCCAGGAGATGCGAGTTTGATCCCTGGGTCAGGAAGGGCCTCTGGAGAAGATAATGGCAACTCTATCCAGTATTCTTGCTTGAAAAATCCCATGGACAGAGGAGACTGGGGGGCTACAGTCTGTGGGGGTCACAAAGAGTCAGACACGACAGAGTGACTAAACAACAGCAAAAACAACAAGCCAGACCATGGTGCTCAAAGGAAGGATAAATTAAAACCAAAACTGATGTAACCATTGAATAAATGATGGCCACTCATTGGCAAATGCACTGGAAAACTGCTTGCACAATAGTCTAAATGTCTAAGCATTCCCAGTTAGAATAGTTTGAAAGGCCCTCAGAATGGTTATCCATTAAAATTCCTCATCAGAATTGAGGGATGAGGTGTTGTGGTACCTGATGAATGATAACACGATGATGAGTGACTAGTCAAGGCTTGGGACTCGAGTCATCAGGATAACAAGGGAATGTGGGTTATGATAGAAAACTACAGGGGCTTCCCTGGTGGGTCAGATGGTGAAGAATTTACCTGCAATGCAGCAGACCTGGCTTCAATCCCTAGGTCAGGAAGATCCCCCTGAAGAAGGGACTTACTACTCACTCCAGTGTTCTTGCCTGGAGAATTCTGGAGACAAAGGAACCTGGCAGGCTATGGTTGCAAAGAGTCAGACACCACTGAGTGACTCACACACCCACCCACCCCACCCCCCAACACACACTGTGGGATCACCTTGCAATTGTCCTTCATTTAAAAGTCAAAAGCCTCGTGGTACATGACCTACACGGTCTTACCTTGTCCACTTCCCTCACCTCCCAGACCTTCTCTTCTACTCTCCTTCCCACTCCTCCAGCTTCGACCACAAACTGTATTGCTTGATGTCTCTTGAAGACACTAGGTATGCTCTGCCATAGGACCTTCACACTATCTCTTCCCTCTCTTTGGATCTCTCTTCTCCAGGGCGCCTACATGTCCCATCTCCTCATCTGCTTCTGTCTCTGCTCAGATGCTTCCCTTTCATTAAAGACAACTCTATCTCCTTAACTAACATCACAAACCATCTCCTGCTCCCTGCCCCGCCTCATGCTGCTCTAATATTTCTCTTGTCCATTGCTCGCATCATCCTCTAATTTATTAGATTGTTCTTATTTAAATACTCTTATTTATTATTAGCAATGGATTATAATATGAAATACTTTATTAAAATTTTTATTTTTATGTATCAAAATATTTTTAATATCTCTTTCTGATAGAATGCAAGCTTCATGAGGGCAAGGATCTTTGCATTAGCCACTGGTGTCTAGAATAGTGCTTGGCACAAAAAAAATCAGGTTGGGGCAGAGGAGATTGTTTTGGGAGGGAGGTGTGATTTTTTGGGGGAAAAAGGACTAGAGAGGAATTATAGAATATGAGAATATTACAAAAGGAAGAAGAAAGAGAGGACTTAAAGAAATATTCCTGGAGTCTATGGGTTCCTTTCGCAGTGTTTGAGAAACACAGATAAAGAACTTGAGCTGTTTTCAGTGTGTATAGTTTAGAGTTTTTAAAATGTTTGTTTTTTGTATAGCTAAAACATGCACATACATTAAATTTTAAAAAAGAGATGTGCAATAAAAAGGAAATCTCTTCTCCTTCCCCACTGTCTCCCAGACATCCAGGTTCCCTCTCTAGGGGCAATTCCTGTTGCTTGTGACTTCTGTGTCCTTCCCCCTATAAAAAGCACTGTATGCAAATTCTTGCACCTTGTTTTTTCACTTAGCTTGGACATCTTTCCATATTAGTATATAGATAAAGCTGCCTCATTCTTTTTTTAATGGTTATAGAATATCCATCATAAAGTTGTATTATATTTAACAGGTCACCTATTGATGAATATTTGGGATATTTTTATCCTTGTGCTATTCCAAACAATAGTGCAATGGATATATATATATATATTCTTTGCATGTGGTTTATAACATGAGCAGCAATAGCATTTCCTAGTTTGTTTTTTCACTTCGTTTGTGTATTTTTTAAAATCTTTTTATTGTGAAAGTATTTTTTTGAGGTTCAATTTCTTGTGCTTAGAAGGTCGTTCCCATTTCAAGATAACAAGAATAATTCTACTTTTCTTTTAGCTTTTTGTTTCATTTATATATTTAAAAACTTTAGCTGCTCAGTTGTGTCCAACTCTTTGTAACCTCATGCACTGTAGCCCACCAGGCTCCCACCAGAATTTCCTAGGCGAGGACA